TCATCTGGTTCCAAGAAGATGCCCCGCCTCAACTAGTACAGAGCCTGAGTCTCCACAGAAGAGACTCATTCATTTAGACGGAGTTCAACTGCTTTTTACCTGGGCCCGGCTTTTGTTTCATCCCAGTCCTCTGCCGCCCCGCTGTGGTCAGTTTGTGACACCGCCTCTTCCTTTACACGGGAAACCAGCCAACTCCGATTTTGCCTAGAGGGGAGGCTGTTTTGTTTACACTGAATTGCAATCATGCCTGGAAAGACCAGAGCTAGCTGTCTCTCTTTCACATCCCAGCTCTCCTCCGCTTTCTCAAGTATTTCCTGTTTATTTATCTCCCTACAAGATATTCAGTAACTGTTACTACAAAAAGAAAAACAGTAACCTGACCAACACCAAGTGATCTGAGTTGTCATCAGTAATGATACAAATCGCCATCAGGTGCCTTCCGAATAGGTTATTCTGTTATTCCCATCCAGAAATCATCACCCGAATTTAATTAGGAGGAAACATCCAGCACCCAAAATGAAGGCGTATTCTACAAAACACCTAGGAGTATTCCTGACTAGGGGCTTCCCTGGTGGTTCAGTGGTAAAGAACCTGCCTGCAATGCACGCAGCACAGGTTCGATCCCTGGAGATGGAAATGTGAACCCACTTCAGTATTCTTGTCTGGGAGATCCCATCGACAGAAGAGCCTGGTGGGCTACAGTCCTTGGGGTCCCAAAAGAGTCAAACACGACTTAACAACTAAACAATAACAATTCCTCACTAGAGTCATGGTGAAGGAAAAATAAGACAGGGGAATTAATCCAGACTAAAGGAAACCCAAGGAGAAATGACATCTAAATGCAACAAGGGGGACTTCCCTAGCAGTCCAGTGGTTAAGACACTGCATTTCCATTGCAGGGGGCACAGGTTCCATCCCCTGGTCTGGGAACTAAGATCCCACATGCCGTGCAAAGCCAAAAGACAGAAAATAAAAATTAAACAAGGAATCCTGGACTGGATCCTGGGATAGGAACAAGACACTGGCAGTCAGCAGACGAGACCTGAATAGGTTTGTAATCACTCATTCGTGTCCTGATCACATATTGATCAGTGTGAATATCCTGGTTGTGATCATTGTGCTGCTTAAGTAATATTTGGGGAAGCTGGATGAAGGCCACATGGAATTTCTTGGTAGTTTTTTCAACTTCTTTGTAAATTTGAATTTTTTTTTAACAGGGTAAGCCTAAATTTATTTTTAATTGAAGGTTAAATCCTTTTAATTACAGGGACTTCCCTGGTGGTCTCGTGATTAGGACTCCAGGCTCCCAATGCAGGGGACACAGGTTCAATCCCTGCTCAGGGAACTAAGATCTTGCATGCTGCACAGAGTGACCTTAAAAAAAAAACCACCACCTTTTAAATTACAAATAGAGTAAGATCAGTGCATGCGTGCTCAGTCATGTCTGACTGTTTGCAACCTCATGCACTGTAGCCTGCCAGGCTCCTCTGTCCATGGGAGAATATCCAAGCAAGAATACTGGAATGGGTTGCCATTTCCAACTCCCCCAGGGATTGAACTTGAGTCTCCTGCAACTCCTGCAATGGCAGGCAGATTGTTTACCACTGAGCCACTTGGGAAGCTTTAAGATCAGTATTTCCTCCTAGATCCATACATTTAGCTGCTACAAAACACGGGAGTGAAGGAAGCCGATGCACCCAGACTGGATTAGGAGTCCCTCTCGGCCTCTGAATTGGCCACACCTTGCTGGCAAGAACTTGACCCAGTGGACTACAGTGGGAGAAGAGGTGCTGAGCAGAAGAGGCCAGGAACTCTAGCTGATTAACCTCTGGGTCCTCACCCTCCACGTGGGGCTGGGCACAGAGCAGCTACTTCCCAGGCAGGTCCCTGCCTACAATGGGTAGATGAGAACTGAATTACAGGTGTGAAGGCCCTTTTCCTGGGGTCCAACTACAGAAGCCATTTCCCAACTTGGCTGTAGAGAAGGAAGTTCTTGGTCCTCAGGGCTCAGCCCAGACTCGGGGCCGGGGGAGGCCCTTGGCCTTCCCTCCAGGTGAGCAGGGGAGGAGGCAGGCAGCAGAGAGGCTGGTCAGCAGCTTAAGGAAAACCACTGGGGTCCCTCCATTTCCCACCTCCGACCCTTGTCTTGGAGAAAAATCACAAACCCCTCCAAGAACTCTAAGGCCTCCCAGGCCCTGTGGGGCTCCTTGCTCACTCAGCCCCAGCCAAACTGAGCTCCTCGCTCTTCATCAAACTGGTTTCTGCCTCAGGACCTTTGCATTCACTGCTGTCTAGAGTGCTTCTCCTGCAGGTCTTCCACTAGAATGTCACCTCCTCAGATCCCCAGAGGGGACTCCTGTGAACAATATTTTTTTTAATTTTTATTTTTTTATTTTTTCTGTAGTACTGGGTCACCAACTCAATTTATTTCATTTCCCTGTCTATTCAGTCTCCCTACAGAAGAATGTGAAGCTTGATGACGGCAGGGTCTGTCTTGTTCCTGGGCCCCCAAGTGTAGAATGGGATCTGAGACATAGTAGTTGCAGTGAATATATGCTGCTGTGTAACAAAGTATTCCTAAACTTAGTGGTTTGGTTTGTAACAGAAGTTACCTTTCATGGAGGTGAGGAATGGAAAGCGCCAGCTGGGCAGGTCTCTCTCAGGGTTTTGCCTTTTGGTCTCTTTTTAATGTGTTTGGCTACATCAGGTCTTAGATGCAGCATGTGGGATCTAGTTCCTGACCAGGTATTGAACCCAGGCCCCCTGCACTGGGAGCAGTCTTGGCCACTGGATGACCGGAAGTCCCTGCCTTTGGGTCTCACTTTCAGTACCTTTATAGCATGGCAGCCTCAGGGCAGGCGGACTGCTTACAGGACAGCTAAAGGTTTCTAGAACAACAGTTCCAGCAAAGCTCGCAGAAGTTGTATCCTCAGCCTTGTGAGTCACATGGTATCACTTCCACTTCTATAAACGAACCAGGAACCAGCCTGCTCCCATTCATGGAAAATGGAGCCCTCATGTTTTTTTAAATTGAAGAATAGTTGATTTACAATGTTGTTAACTTCTGCTATACAACAGTGATTCAGTTGTACATATACATATTCTTTTCCATTATGGTTTACCATGGGACATTGAATATAGTTGTGTTGTACAGCAGGACCTTGTTGTTTATACGTTCTGTGTATAATAGTTTGCATCTGCGAACTCAAAATTCCCATCCATCCCTCCCCCACCTCCATCCCCCTTGGCAACCACAAGCCTGTTCTGTGTCTGTTTCTGTTTTGTGAGATAAGTTCCTTTGTGTTGTATTTTAGATTCCACATGTAAGTGGTATCAGGTGGCATTTGAGACCTGACCTTTTGATGGGAAGAAGGTCAGAGAATTTGGGGCCATGCTTTAAAATCATCAGAGTAGGCAATCAACAAATATTTATTGCCTAAATAAATGTTGACTGAGTGAATGTGTTACAGGAGACCAGATAAAGAAAGCAGAGGAAGGTCTAAGGGACGTGACAAAGGCAGCCTTGGCCACTGGGATGAAAACTTGAAACAGAGGGAAATTTAGTTGGCTCATCGGGCTGATGGGACTTCCCCGGTAGCTCAGTAAAGATGCTACCTGCCGATGAAGAAGACATGGGTTCAGTCCCTGGGTCAGGGAGATCCCCTGGAGGAGGACATGGCAACACACTCCAATATTCTTGTCTGGTGAATTCCATGGACTGAGGAGCCTGGCAGGCTGCAGTCTATGGGGTCACAAAGAGTCAGACAACTGAGCTGCAGGAACATCAGGGTGATGGGTTTAAGAAAGGGTATTTTCGCTTGAGAAACCACAACTGGATTATATTTAGCCAGTGATGACATGTTGCTGGGAGTCTCCCAAAGCGTGGGATGGATGTGGTCCATGAAATTAACTTTTGGAGGTATGCAGACAGGGCATTAAATGACACAGAATCTCATGGATTAGAGTTACCTCATTTTCAGTTCTTTCATTCCTTCTTGCTGTGTCAAGAAGTTTCAGCTGAGTGATAATATGCCTTTAATAGCCCTCTAATACTTTGCTAATCTCTTTACATTTAAAAAAAAAAAAAAGCAGGCTTGGGGCTCAACACCTTGGCAGGCAACAATATCCATCCAGAATTATAAAACACTCTTTTGTTTTCATGTTTGTTTTTACAGCTATGGCTCAGTGGTTTTCTCTCTGAAGTGGTGATATACGGTATCTATTTAATGTCAACTTCAACTAATAAAAGGCACATAAAGTATTAAGTTCATTATGGGTCAGAGGGTTCAGAGACATGGAATCAGCCAAGAACACTTACCCAAGAGAAGTTACAGATAACAAAGTGTAATGAATATAGTGATTGTTGTTCTTTAGTTGCTAAGTCGTGCCTGACTCTTTTGCAGCTCCATGGACTGTAGCCTGCCAGGCTCCTCTGTCCATGAGATTTCCCAGGCAAGGATACCGGAGTGGGTTGCCATTTCCTCCTCCAGGGGTTCTTCCTGACACAGGGATTAAACCCGCATCTCCTGCATTTTCAGGAGGATTCTTCACCACTGAGTCACTGGGGAAGCCCACAGTGGTACCAATAAGGCACAGGAAAACAGTCTGCGCACTGCAGACAGGCCTGATGACCCCTGGTGTCTTTTCCCGCACTGGCACTCTAGCCATTCCTGAAGAATTCCTAGCCAACCTCTGTGGCCTGTGCCTGCAGCCTGGAGGCAAAATCCAAGCTAGCAAGTGAGTATCTTGCTAAAATGCAGATTCTGATTCAAGTCTAGGTTGGAACCTGGGAGTCTGTATTTTCAACAAATTTCCTGGTGATGCTAATGCTGGTTTGGAGGCCACAGCAAGAAAGTAGCAGGCTCTAGAGAGAGACAGAAAAAAATCTAGTATGCTATTGCCCACCTCTGCTCAACTCTGATTAGTGATATTCACACTGGTAGCCTGAGACTGGCCATATGAAGCATTTACATCAAGGATATCAGCACTACAAAGCAGGGTCCGTTTTATTGTTTTATTGTCTTCGAAACTTACATATGGGAAAATGGTAAAATTTAGAAGAAACTATACATACACAGGGCACAAGTGTAATTAGACAGAAACACACGCTTCTCTGCTTCTCCCAAAGAAGCAGCCATTGAACACTCACCACACCCCACTGGTTGTACAGAAATGTATAGAACAACCATATAAATACTGCAAACCAGTCAGTCCTAAAGGAAGTCAGCCCTGAATACTCACTGGAAGGACTGAAGCTGAAGTGCCAATATTTTGGCCATCTGATGTGAAGAGCCAGCTCATTGGAAAAGACCCTGAGGGCAGGAGAAGAGGGTGAGATGGTTGGATGGCATCACCGACTCAACGGACACGAGTTTGAGCAAACCCTGGGAGATAGCAAAGGACAGGGAAGCCTGGCCTGCCAGAGTCCATGGGTTAGCAGAGTCAGTCAGACAAGACTTGGCAACTGAACAACAAAACTTCTATTGAGACCCAACAAGTAAATATTTTAAGATTTTTGGGCCAGACAGTCTGTTAAAAGAACTCAGCTCTGTGGTTGTAGCTTGAAAGCGGCCACAGGCATTATGTCAATGACTATGGCTGTTTTCAAGTAAATCTACGGGCACTGAGATTTAAATTTCACATGATTTTCACATGTCATGAGAGATTCTTCTTCTTTTGGTTTTGTTTCAACAATTGAAAATGTAACAGCCACCCTTAGCTTGAAGACAGATGTGGCCCAAAGGCTACAGGACCTCCTTGTTCAGATCATACTGGAGCAGGAGTGGAGCTAGGACCCACACCAAAGACCTGGCGCACAAAAGTTCCAAGCGCAGGGATCACCCAGTGCAAACATCCTAAGGCGCAGGGCGTTTGGTGAGCTCCAAAGGGTGAGAAATATGCTCACACGTCCAAAACCAAGGAATGGACCCAGAGACACGAAGCGCGGTGAAAGTGAGACTTTTAGTGATGGTCTTGCAAGACCGGGTGTCTGGTGGGCAGGCACAGGCGGGGAAGTTACAGCAAGCACTTTAGTCGCTAGCACGCAGATCCCTCCCTCAGTTCCTCACTGGCTGGGTACTATGGGGTGTACGATCATCCTGGAGGTTTGGTTATAGGGTATCCTTCCTTCTCCCTTCCCAACCTAAGTCTGTTATTTCTCAACAACATTTTAGTTTCTCTCTCCCACAACATCCCGCTTGCTCAGGGACTTTCCAGGTGTGTGACCTTTGTGGTTGTTACATCAGCAAACTGTTAGGCAAGCTTGGCTCCTAGTAGTTTTCCACTCAGAGCTAGCTACCTTTGAAAATGGACCACTTTTTTATTTCTTACAAATTCCGGATGGAGACACTATACAATCAGCAAAAACAAGACTGGGAGCTGACTGTGGCTCAGATCATGAACTCCTTCTTGCCAAACAAATACAGACTGAAATTGAAGAAAGTGGAGAAAACCACTAGACCATTCAGGTATGACCTAAATCAAATCCCTTATGACTATACAGTGGAAGTCAGAAATAGATTTAAAGAATTAGATCTGATAGACAGAGTGCCTGATGAACTATGGATGGAGGTTTGTGACATTGAACAGGAGACAGGAATCAAGACCATTCCCAAGAAAAAGAAATGCAAGAGCAAAATGGCTGTCTGAGGAAGCCTTACAAATAGCTGTGAAAAGAAGAGAAGCAAAAAGCAAAGGAGAAAAGGAAAGATATACCCATTTGAATGCAGAGTTCCAAAGAATAGCAAGGAGAGATAAGAAAGCCTTCCCTCAGCGATCAATGCAAAGAAATAGAGGAAAACAATAGAATAGGAAAGACTAGCAATCTCTTCAAGAAATTTTCATGCAAAGATGGGCTCAGTAAAGGACAGAAATGGTAGGGACCTAACAGAAGCAGAAGATATTAAGAAGAGGTGGCAAGAATACACAGTAGAACTATACAAAAAAGATCTTCNGGAGAAATATCAATAACCTCAGATATGCAGATGACACCACCCTTATGGCAGAAAGTGAAGAACTAAAGAGCCTCTTGATGAAAGTGAAAGAGGAGAGTGAAAAAGTTGGCTTAAAGCTCAACATTCAGAAAACTAAGATCATGGCATCCAGTCCCATCACTTCATGGCAAATAGATGGGGAAACAGTGGAAACAGTGGCTGACTTTATTTTTCTGGGCTCCAAAATCACTGCAGATGGTGATTGCAGCCATGAAATTAAAAGATGCTTACTTCTTGGAAGGAAAGTTATGACAAGTAACAATCACTCTTATGATGGGCTTGACTGTAAATTTGACCCATTCAACCCAGGCATTCGTCTCTTCATACCCTGTCTCAATTTCTAATTTCTAATCTCTTCATACCCTGTCTCAATTTCTAATTTCTAATTTCTGTCATATCTTTTTACCTCAATTATTTTTATCCTTTTGGGATCATTAATAGAACTAACATGGTTTTCAGAGCTCAGGGTCAGGACAGTCTCCAATACACGGAAGGTTTTTATTTTCACTGAAGTTAAGAACAAATCACCCCAAGGGGTCTTTCCCAGTGACATCTGTCCCTAACCCATATACCTGAGATGCCACTTTTGGCTCTTAATCTAGGATAGCTGGGTTGTTAACAGTTAAGAGGATAGAGTTGCATTTTAGATTTTGACTGGCTTCTGGGGGAATGCCCTTAGGTGTAGTTTGTCTTTCAAAGGCCTCCAACTAGGAGCTACCCACCCTATGTTTACTGTCCAGTCCTGAACCTGGGTGGTCCACCATACATCATCCCAACTGGGGCAGGGGCTTGCTCTAGTATAAACCAAATCTGGTTCAGGGCAAAGATACTTATCTGCCTGCAACAACTGTCTCTGGTTTTCTAAGTTTCCACAAGGTAAAATTTGGCAGGCATCAAAACTCATAGTCTGAGGTGACAAGGTTTTGGTTATATTGACAACCAACCTGATTGGATAATCAGGGGTTCCTTGTCAATTTCTACTCTAACTTTTTACCTGTTGGTTTCCATACCAGTTTCCAAAGGTGTGGCCACATGGTTAATGGTTATTGTGAAGGGGAGGATTCAGAGGGAAGGATTTAACAAGGATTTCTTAAAGTTACCTTTAAAGGCTGCTCATTGGTCCTTTCCCTTCCCTTTGAGGTCTCTTTTATTTGGCCCCTTGACTCGTGTGTAATGAGTACAACCTTTTTCAGCAGTCCATACAGCTGTCTCAGTGGTCAGGAGCACTTGATAAGGGCCTTTCCAGCTTGGTTGGAGTTTGTCTTCTTTCCAGGGTTTGATTAACACCAAGTCACTGGGCTGGAAGTGATGAATTCTACAGGCAGAGTCTGGGCAAGGTGTCCTTTTAATCTGGGGAATGATAAGGTAGAGGAAATGGTCAGTATATAGTTTCTTAGAAATTGGTCTTAGCCCAGGAAGTCTGCCTCCCGGAGTGTGTTTTCCTAATCACCCTCTTGTTAATTTCCTGGCAGGCTACTGTAAACCTGTTTCGCAATGGTGTAAATTCTCAGGCAACCATAATTTCTAAGTACTGTATCATACATAGCCTGGGGGCCCCAATGGGCATTAACTCCCTCTTCGTGGGCTTCCTTGTCATTTTCCTTCTGTCAGGTGACACCGATCTTTGGTCTTCAGTTTGGGTGTTTGAGATTAGGTTTAATAGCTTCATTTTCTCCCCTAGAGAGGCTCACTTAGTGGCTTCATCTGTGAGCCTGTTCCCTGTGGCTTCCATAGAATTCCCTTCCTGGTGACCAGTTACATAAGCTATAGTTACCGTGTCTGGAAGCAGGAGACTTTCTGCAATTTGTTTAATCAACAGAAGTATTATCAACCTAATGTTGATGGCTCTAAAGTGAAAGTGAAGTTGCTCAGTCGACTCTGCGACCCCATGGACTGTAGTCTACCAGGCTCCTCCGTCCATGGGATTTTCCAGGCAAGAGTACTGGAGTGGGTTGCCATTTCCTTCTCCAAGAGATCTTCCCAACCCAGGGATTGAACCTGGGTCTCCTGCATTGTAGGCAGACGCTTTACCATCTGAGCCACCAGGGAAGTCTAAAGACATGTCTATATTAACACTTTAACATCAGATATTAACTTAATACTGAATATTTTTTTAGTTTTCATGAATCTAAAATTCTGACCAGTTATTTTTTGTATTTTGAAAATGTAAATAAGCTCTTAATTTTCTCAAGCCAATTAAGTAGTGCTCATTTACAAAATAATTTTGATAACATCATCCACAGGTAAAGCATAATATTACATACCTATAGACAAACAGAGCTCATAGATTGAAATTTACTAGATTATCTCTAGCTAGCTTTCTTTAACAACTGCCTATGCAGTAAAAGAGCCCATTTTGGCTATTTTTAGGACAAAAATTTTCCTTTAATCCCAAGTAGATACCTGCAAGAATAAGTTTTGTACATGCATAAATCAGGCTGGTGTTAGAGGCTGTTTTCTGATGCCCCATGTTTCTGTGTTTGAGGGATTTTATTTCCCATTTTAAATTGAATTTGTCATGCATAAAATTTACTAGTGAAATTGTGTGGTGGGCCAGTGTGCTGCATGTGAGCTTATCTCCTTCAGGAGTCACCCCAGAGTCGTTTCAGCCCTCTTACGTGTCTCAGTAACTCCCTTCGGCAGTCTAAGAGCACCATGGGTGCTCAGATGGACCAATGGCCAATTCTTATTTGAGACCCCTGGACAAGCAAGTGTTTTAATTAATGAGTGGGTTTCCCTAGGGGACCACAGCCTGAGGACTCGGCCTCCACCATTCCCGGAAATTTCCCAGTCACCTGAGAAAATCATGAGCGGCCGGGAGGAGTAATGTCCCATTTCTCTGGAGCAAAGCTCTCATGTAAAAATCTTTATTTTTATCCAGACAAATTCTAGTTAAGCAACCAAACAGAGGAAAAGCATCACATCAGTCTCCAACTTAACTACTCAGCATAGACCACTCTGCCTCCTACAACCAGGCAACAGTGCTATCTTTCATCAGAGCCTTACTCAGTGTCTAGTCCTGGCAGGACTATCCTGCCCCAAATCTCAACATCCTCCCCAGTGGACTATGGGGCGGGGATGGCAGAGGAAGAATCCTCATCTCCCCCTTTCTTTGGTTCCCTTGGCCTAGAACATTTATTCCCCATATTCAGCTGGTCCCTATGTCCGCGTTTCCCTGTGCACTCAAGCCCCCCACACTGGAGGCTTCTTGCACACTCTTGAGAATCCCTTTGACCATCTCAGGCCATTTCTCTGGTGGCCCTAGTAGACAAGAACCTCTCCGCCAAAGCAGGAGACTTAAGAGATGCTGGTTTGCTCCCTAGGTGGGAAAGATCCCCTGGAGGAGGGCATGGCAACCCACTCCAGTATCCTTGCCTGGAGAATCCCAAGGACAGGGGAGCCTGGTGGGCTACTGTCCATGCGGTCGCAAAGACTGTGACATGACTTAGCATGCACCGCCGTTTTCCTCGGGGAAGAAGGAAACTAAGGATTGGGACTCCATACTCGCTTACATTTCAGTCACACACACTCGACCTCCGTGTTATGCCCGATGTCCGAATCCCCGAGCGGGAAGAGAGAAGTCCCAAGAGACAATGCAAAACGCAAGAAGG